TATTATAATTTCACATACAAAGGAATGAAAAGTTACAACAGAGTAAACAACGTATGTGTTGATTCTTGCATTACCTTAACCCCAATTTAAACAACTTAAAAGCTCATTCAGTCAACTCTATTGCCCTGCAATAAGGAAAACACACAACTGAGTAAATAAAAAGTGACAAGAGGCCAGTTCAAATTCGTGTTATCACTCAGTTATCCTCAAAGTTCCACTTCTTAGAGGCACTCAGTACCATTTATTTAGCAAAAACAGAATGCAAAATAATTGATTTAACACTTTAAGAATGACTTTTAATGACATATAATTTAACATCACTTTTGTGAATTTTATTGTGGTGTCTTAGTAATTGCATTTTAGAAATTTTATATGTGTGTATGCATATCTATATATATCTTTCTTTCCTTGAGAATCTTCTTTTATTCTCACCTTTGAAAACTGATGCTATGTTAGATTATTTTATAGTCATAATAATTCAACTGAAGAAATCTTTACCAATATGTTATTCAAATTTAACCCTTACAGAAATGAAGATACTCTAACTCCAATGTTCCTAGTTATATGCAATATAAAATCATAATAAATACTTTATGGAAAACTTTATAACAAAATAACTATATTCTTTATTTCATTTTTAAATTCTATTTTACAAAAAAGTGTATATCTGAATGCAATTTAATACATTTTGTCTAAATCTCCAAAATCGGACTAAACTAAAATTAAAATTTTAATTTTATATAGTAAAAGTAACATGCAATACAATGCACACATTTTAAGTGTACAATTTGATGACTTTGAGCAATAGTCATACCTGTGTAATCATTGCCCCAGGGAAGACAGAGAACATTTCCTCACCCCAGAAACTTACGTGGTGCTCTTCGCAGTCAGTGCTCCCACCCAGTCACTCCACAGAAACCACAAGTGAGATTTCTATCACTATATATGAGTTTTGCCTGCTCCAGAACTTTATATAAACGGAATCATACTGCAGATACTCTTTTAAGCTTGGCTTGTTTTGCTCACCACGTTTTTGAAAATTCATCCACGTGTCAGATGTGTCAATAGATGATATATTGTTTTTGTTAATTATGAATAACATTGTATAAATGTACAAATATTTGTTTATTCATTCACCTGAGGTCATCCTTTTGATTGTTTCCAGTTTTTACCTATTCTGAATAAGGCTGCCATCAACACTCACATGCAGGTCATTTTGTGGATTGATGTTTCCATTTCTCTTGAATAAAAACCGAGCAGTATAATTTCTAGGTCAGTTGGCAACTTTATGTTTAACTTTATAAGAAACTGCCAAATTGTTACCAAAAGTAATTGTAATATTATTCACTCCCACTAGCAATGTAGAAGAGTTTATTTTTGCTTAATCTTTTCTCCTAATTGTTCTTCAGGTTGGACGTTTTCCATTGATCTTTCTTTCAAGTTCACTGACTCTTTCTTCAGTAATCTTTAATCTTCCCTTACATACATCATGTGAAATGTTCACCTCAGTTATGTTAGTTCTAGAACTTCCTCTTTTTTATGTTCCCAATTCTCTTTTGAGATTTGCCCAAATGTTAACTCATTAAGAACATACCTTCTTTAATTTTTTGAATACATTCATTATAGTTGCCTTAATGTCCTTTTCTGATCAATTCAACATCACAGCCATCCTTTGGGAGTTGATTACTATTGACTACTTATTATCTTCAGTGTGGACACGTTTTTTTGTTTCTTGTCTTGTAACTTTTGAATGCATATCAATTACTGTGATTCCATCTTGGACTCGAATAGGCTTTGCTTTATGCTTTGTCTGAGTGGAAACATGGAAAGCCCAAGGTGTCATCTAGGCTCCACTGACTTAGTAGGGTCCCACCTCCCAGCTCTGTCTCCCATGCAGATCTTGACTGGGCTTGGTTGTAGGCTTTGTTAGAGTAGGTTTTATCCCTATAAGGATAAATCTTATCCTATGGCTTGGTGTGTTTCTCCCTGATCTGTCTGTCTGGGCTGTTGTTAAAGTGTTAAAGCGCCTTCCTGTTCTGATTCAGCCTCCTGTGGCAGTTGCTCTCTGTAAGACTCAGCTAGTTCCTCCTGCTTACCCATCAGGCGCTCGTCGGCACATCCCAAGCGCTCTGGGGGCTCCCAAATCAAAGTCTACCCCCTTCCCACTATATTCCAGCTGCTTCAGCTGCCCTGAATTTTGATGTATGTATGTGTGTTGGGGGGGCGGGGTGTGGCGTTCAGCACAGCACCACCTCACTCCTTGCTCTGCTTGGCTTCTAGCACCTTGCAAGGCAAGGGGCGTTGTCCCCAGGCAGAAAACTGGGCCATTGTCTCAAGTTTCCTTTTTCTCAGGTTTCTTAGTTTAATGCTGCTTGTTGTCTAATATTTGAAAAATATGCACTAATCTATTGTGGCCTCTTGTTTGGTTGTTTGTGGTGGGAGGACTAGTCTCCTTGTAGTTACAATACCATAGCCAGAAACAGAATCTAATGTTCATTCTAAATTGTGTGTTTTTTTCCCTACAAATTTAGCCTTAGTGCAATTGTTTAAACAAAAGTTTTTACCTTTCTTAATTAAGTCTATATTTTAGGCTTCTCTTTACTCCTCCTGAATTTTTACAGCAGCTCCTTATGTGTTTTCCTGCACTATATTCCTTCTTTCCTACAGCATCAGATTTATTGCAAAGCACAAATTAGAGTGTAACACTTCTCTGCTTAAAAATATCATAGAATTTTCCCTTTCCAATTAAGTTAAGAAAAATATTGTGCTTGGAAACAAATCCCTTCAGACTCTGGTCCTAATCTAAAATTTCAGCCATATTTCTTGTCACTTTCCAACCCAAGCTCAGGCATCCTATACTTATACAATATTGATATTCACTTTCCTCCTTTACCTGCAAATGCCATGTTCTTTCTGGCCTTCATGCCTGTGCATAAGCTATTCCTTTAGCCTGGGAAACAGTTCTTTCCTTTCCTTACTCGGCTAAGACCTAATCAAAATTTCCTAATGCTGTTACCCCTGCAGAACTAATTTTTCCTCAGTGATCTCATAGCACTTTGTACTTATTTATATTAAAATATTTCTTATTGTGACTTACTGTAACTGTTACCAAACCAGATTCGTTTTTGCCCGCCGCCCAGAAAGCCAAACACTGAGACAACAAGATTGCAGCAGAGAGAGAGTTTACTCACAAGGCAGCCATGTGAGGAAGCAAGAGCCTGAACCTCAAATTCGCTACCCCAAAAATAGGGACTCAGGGATATTTATGGGATGGGGGCAAGGTGGTCTGAAATGTGGAGTTTGGTGATTGGAGGTGAGGAGAGGTGAGGGAAATTGATGATCTGCGCAAGCGTAGTCAGACCCCGTGCCTCTTCATAGGACCCATGTTCACAAAATGGCAGCGTTAGCATGATCTGAGGGTGGAGTTTTTAGCCTCTTGACGTCAAAAGGTCGCCTATCAGACACCTGCGTGGGCCCAGTTGATGAGCTGGTGGTCTCAACTGGCCTTAAGTAGACAAAGAATTCTAATTCCTGAAAAACAGCTCACACATCCATTACCATAGTTAACAATGGGTGGGTTAAATAGCTAAAAGCTATAGTCAGTAATTGCAAAAAGGAAAAAATTTTGGTACCTAGATACTTAATCATCAATGGCTGTTTGCCGGCTTCATAACTGTTTACATGCTCAATGTTAAATCATGAGCATCCCAGAGAAAAATAGCATGTCTATTTAAACTCTCTATCCTTTCTGTCTAACAGTGCCTGTTTCTTAATGAATATCTGTTAAATAGGCAGAGGATTAATGAACGGATTTCACAAGTTTTCTTGCTTTGTCTTTGAGGTATTTTAATTCCTGTGGCTTTAGGCTAGAGATTTGGACTATGTAAATCATTAGCATTTTTTTTTTTTTTTTGAGGAAGATTAGCCCTGAGCTAACTACTGCCAATTCTCCTCTTTTTGCTAAGAAAGACTGGCCCTGAGCTAACATCCATGCCCATTTTCCTCTCCTTTATACATGGGACACCTACCACAGCTTGGCTTTTGCCAAGCAGTGCCATGTCCGCACCCAGGATCCAAACTGGTGAACCCCGGGTTGCTGAGAAGCCGAACGTGTGAACTTAACTACTGCACCACTGGGTCGGCCCCCATTAGCATTTTTAATATATCTTAATAGGGAACAAGAAACTTAAGCAACAACTATTAAAAAACTTTAAAAGTAGAAGTGTAATTTACTTGTGATTTAACAGGAATACAAGAATTTGAACTTATTTGAAATCATTTCTAGCTAAGGAACTAAAAATGTGAATTTTTAGCAGACAAGCTTATTTTTTCGTATTTCATAAGGACTTGCTGAACATGGACTGTCCCCAGCAGACAAACACTTTAAGGACAGTAGTAGATGAAAATGTTTTATCAACCTTTTATTTATTAGCCCAAATCCTTAATAAAATACTGTGGTTTAGTATCAGACCTGATGTATATGGGTTCATACATGACATATCTGTGAAGATCACCTTACAATGGTTATAGCAAAAACATTTATTAAAATATTAAAAAGTCGGGGCTGGCCCCGTGGCCGAGTGGTTGAGTTCGTGTGCTCCGCTGCAGGCGGCCCAGTGTTTCATTGGTTCGAATCCTGGGCGCGGACATGGTACTGCTCATCAAACCATGCTGAGGCAGCGTCCCACATGCCACAACTAGAAGAATCCACAACGAAGAATATACAACTATGTACCGGGGGGTGTTGGGGAGAAAAAGGAAATAATAAAATCTTAAAAAAAGAAAAAATATTAAAAAGTCAATTGCAACAAATAGGTTCACAGGTTTGAAGTGGAAAAGTTACTGTTTAGAAGCAAAAAATATGATCGAGTCGTTGTTTTTCCTTCTGTGAGTTAAAAATAGAAAATTGCTTTATTATAACCTCTTGAGGGAGGAGCAGGACTAGTTGGAACTAGTGTCTTGACTGACATATAAATAGTTTGTTTGTTTGTTTCTTCCAGATTCATGTTTACACGGATCCAGGCCTCTTAGGCCTCAGTTTTCGGTGAGTCGTGTGGCGATACAGGCCGCTTTATGCTGGTGAGGAAGGTCTTTGGGGACAGTGGGTCTTCCTGGGCCCCTGTGTCACACCATCTGGGAACACACACGGGATGCCTGCAGCAATGCTGCCAGTTGGGCGTAGCAGGATGGAGAATCTGACTTGACATGTGGAAAGGGAAAAACTGCAGTTATCCATCTTGATCGCAAATGAAATGTAAATGAATCCTCCATTCAGACTCCCCATCAGGTCAGGTCTGTCCCTTTTTTCTCGGAACCGTGGGTGGTCTGCTGAAGTCGACTTCCCTGACTGTGGCCCTATTTTTGGCCAATCTATAGAACACGTTTATTTCTCAATCAAGCAGAGCTAAGATCCATTAGTGTCAGTACCTGTAGCAAGAGAGGCATAGGTAGTCATAATTTGCTATAATCTTACATAATCTTCCCTTAGGAAACCAAGAAAGGAGCAGTGGGGTGCCTCGGGAATTGTGTTGTGACAGTTCCATTATCCAATGACATTACGCTGCTGATTTAAAGACTTGGCCCAGCCAGCTGATTTGAAAGTCAACTGCAGCAGATATGGGTCTCATCAGGCAGCAATAGATTTTTTAAAGTTTTGCAAAACTATTTTTTTCTTTGCTGAAAAAATTTTAAAAAAGGAAAGAAAGCAAGAACATAGCCATTTGTTGCCTGTTTTCCAATGTATTTCATCTTATTGTGAGTCTCCTACCATGCATATCTCTTCAGTTACTCTGTGGTATTCTTTTCTCCCCTTAAAAACCAAATTCTATCATGTCTTTTAGTCTTTCAATGTCCTCTCTTCAATAATTTCACCTTTTGTTTTTAATCAAACATACTCTTCTTTTAAAAATTTTTGGTTGATTCTTTTGTCCCATAGTTTTCTTAATTCCCCTTTTTTCTAATTTCTTAAATTCAGTAAAGCCTTTTTTGAAAAGAAAATTCTTTCTGCAATGACTTAGCTTTTCTGTTTGCATTAAATGCTTTGATCCTCAATATTATATCAATTCCACAAAGATTTATTAAGTTACTGTTTTTATAAACCAGGATTTGGGAGAAGGAGGCAGCACAGATGAATTAAACGCCTTTCCTGCATTTAATGGTTTCTAAAGTGTGATTTTAAAGAATTTGTTAAGCTCCATTTCAGTCATCATGAGGGCTGTTTTGTTCACTCTGACTTGCTCAGCATCTGGAACGGTATTTACTTTCAGTGGAGAGCCCAGGATCGCAGGGCCTGAAGTTGACACATATACACATTTTATAAGCACATGTGACTACATGGACACATCCTAGGCTCTTTCTAAGGCCATGGAAGGGATCCTAGTGGTTAGAGCTCTGAAGAGTTATCTTCATTGCTTCATGGTAAATCTCTCTCTGGGTAGTTACTCACTAACTAGACTTAACCACCACAGATAATTTCCTTGTCCAAGCACATATCCCTTAGGGTTGGTGACTCTATTGGCTCTTTGCAACATGTGAGACAGACATAGAATGACCATTGTGTCTGTTTGCCTGGGTCATTCTCAATTTACACCTGGAGTCCCACCAAAGAGAATAGATAAGTGGTTAAGAGGGAGAGTCCCAATTCCTCTAGTCCTGATCACAGGACTAGAGCCATATACCCCAGGGCATTTGAGAGTGAAAGACAGCACTATGAATGCAAAAACTTCAGAATTAATGTGAATGCCCTTCACACCAGACCCTAGCACAGGGTTTGGTAAACTACAGCCTACAGCCTGGCCACTTGTTCTTATGAATACCTTTATTGTTATACAGCCACACCCACTCATTTACATATTACCTATGGCCACTGTCCCACTAAAATGGCAGAGTTGAGTGGGTACAATAAAGATTAAATGGCCTAAAAAAACAAAAATATTTACTATCTGCTCTTTAAGAACAAGGTTACTGATTCTTGCTTTAATAGAATAAAAGCAGAATAGAAGAAAGATATTCTTTGATTAGTTATTCTAATTTATCTCAAGACTTAGGAAGGATACTATTCATCTTCAGACTTACAATTTTCTCATATTAAAATGAGACATTCAGATAAGAAAAAAGTCCCTAAATGGAACTCATATCTTTCTTGTTAATCTTTTAAGTTCTACAGATTTTGTAAGACAACAGTTTAATATATGAAGTGCTGTTTTGTTTTTTTAACAGTTCTTCGTGCTCCAAAATGAATAAAATAGTGTAAGGTAAATCTTAGACTATCTGATTCCAGACTCTAGGCTTTTACTGATAGTTAAACTAAGGTAACACATAGCTATGCATTACTTTTTTGTGATTGCTGCAACAAATTACCACAGATTTGGTGCCCTAAAACAACATAAATTAATTACCTTGCAGTTCTAGAGATCAGAAGTCTGCAATGTGTCTCACCAGGCTAACAATCATGATGCCCTTTCTGAAGGCTCCAGGGGAGAATCTATTGCCTTGCCTTTCCATCTTCTGGAGGTGGCCTGCCTGCTTTCTTTCCTCCATCTCCAGAGCCAGCAATGGTGCTTGTGCTTCTCCCCTTAGATCTTTCTGACAGTCTTCTGTAGTCCCATCTCCCTCTGTCTCACTCTTCTGTCTCTCTTTCCTACTTTTAATGATCCATATGATTGCATTGGCCTACACAGATCATCCACAGTGATCTCCTCAACTCACCATCCTTACCTTCATCACATTTGCAAGTCTCTTTTGCTATGTTAGTTTACATATTCAGAGGCTCCTGGGATTAGGACGTGCACATCCTTTGGGGGGCAAGAGGTGTATAGCCACTATGCGAAACACCACTGCTAATATTTTCTTTTCTGTTCTTTTAATTGTTCTTGATGGTGTTTTGCTTTGGCTTTAGAACAGAGGAGATTGTGAGAAACATTATAGTATAGCACATAGGAATAAAGGCTCTGATGCGAGACCACAGGGGTTCTAGATGCTCTCTCTGATTCTTTCTCATTGTGTAGCCTTTTGTAACTTTTCCTAGTCTCATACTTCTCACCTCTAGAGTGAGAACAATAATAGTATCTCATAAATTTATTGAGAAGATTAACTTATTTAAGGCGTGTCACACATTTAGCAGAGTATCTGGCACATAAAAAGCTGCCGACGATGCTAGCTCTGTGTATAAATTAGAATGCCACATTTAAATGAATCTGCTTTAGTGTCCAGTTGTTAGTAGTGTTGATTCAGGAAAATTTAAAAAAACTTTCTTTAAGTAAAGCCGGCAAGAATGTGTCTCCGTGGTAGCAAGTCTTTCCTTTTTCTTTCAGGGCAGCACCTTTCATATGAAAGGTATGCTCTAGACTGGAAACGAGAGGGCTGGCTTCAAATTATGCAAAAGTCATAGTAGGCTATGTGCATGTGCAGCTCAACACTTTCTTTCATTCAGAAAATAAATCCCAAAATGGCTGTCAGAGTAATCTCACTTATATAATCTCTCTTCTGTTTTTTGTGTTAAAATTTTTGAGGACCTTGGATAATATTAATTTGCATGACTATCAATTTCCCTAAATTTTACAATAAAAAGTACAATATTGTCAGCGTTGAAAATCTGTGCTTTGTGCCACTTAATTAGGTCATCTGGTTTTCTCACTAAACAAATGGAAATCCTAGGAGACATTGAATCCACACCTTCATGTGTTGGCTGGAACTGAGGAAAGTAGTGGTGCGGTTTTCTGTTTTAGTGGATGAGGGAAGCAAGGACAGCTTTTGTCATGCAAAGTTAGAAGAATATACAGAAAATATTTTTAAGTGTTTGATAAGTTATAGGAAAAAAATTTGTGAATTAATATTCATACTTACCTGATCTGTAATCAATATGAGGAAAGTAAAGAATATTAGAAAAGGCATAGGACTAGTAGCACAACATCGGTCCTTTTGTAGGTTCATAGTAATTAATTCTGCGAACCTGGGCTAATTGCATGATCCATCTGGGTTTCCGTTTCCCTAAGCATGTTATTCACTGGCTAAGACATAGAAAACTCATAGAACACTCTGAAATGCTCTCCTGTGAAAATACTTGAGTCTAAGAGAGACATAAACTAGTTGGGATCAGTTTAGAATGTATTTAAAGATTAAGTCAATAATTACTTTCATTCTGCATAATGCCAGAAATTCTTTGCAAATTTTGGACGGTTTGGTCTATATCCCAATTTTCTCATTACTCTGAATGGTATTTTATAATCTTTTTAGCTAAAGTAGAATTTTTTAAATATGACTTCTATAGTCAATGAATTCATTAGCTTATTTTCTATTTTTAACTACCTGAAGTGATACTTGAAGATGCAATTAAAATACATAAACATATTGTACTGTATATAATATTAAAATTTTTTTTCTTCGTACCTATTCTATTACTGGAAAATATGACATAAAAGCAACTTTAAAAAGAGTATGACACGTTTTAATAAGGAATATGACTAATAGCTTCCTTTCAGTGGCAGTTTGACTTCAAGAGAATTTCCTGGGGAATAACCAATTCAGAAAAGTAAGCCTCTTTTTTGTTGAAATACATAGAACTATTGAATAAAAAATAAAATATAAAGAATGGTTTTAAACATACATAACCTCAAAATAAAGGATGATTTTTACGTGCCAGAAAGGACACGGAAACTAAAAGCTGAGGAGAGATTAGTAGCTAAGGCTGTCTTGGCCCAGGAATTATCATGCATAAATAGTGGTTCTGGAATCAGAGGTGGGGTTTTTAATACACACACAGGGCAGGGACACATGGCCCCCAGCCTGTTGGAGGCAGAGTGCTGAGACAGAGCTCCCTGCATAAAGGCTGCCTCATCTATTCAAGGGATGAAGGGAACTAGAAAGACACTTCCCATGAGGAAAGAGAAAGCAGCAAGATAATTTCTTGATTAAACATCAGGGACTGAGGTTGGAATAAAACAGGAAAGTGAAATTTTTATCTAAGCCTATGTTACACAGAAGAAGAATTTGAATTTAGTCGAACACTATGATGCTGGAAAGACAAGCTGATACATTAGCATGAAA